ATTCCCTACCGGGAGGAGCCGACGTGACGGCTGGGAAGCAACAGACCCACCGTACACGGTTTAGGGTTTAGGGTTTCCCCAAACGCCTGAATCCTATACCCCAAATTCCAGTGCCTTAAACTCCTCAGCACTAGACCTTGGACCCCTAAACCCTCAGCACAAACCATCTGCCACGGCACCTCCGAAGTTGGAGTGGGGAAAGATCTTCTTCCCTGTGTCTTCCGGGGGCTGGGCTTGTCGGCTTGGGTTTTGAGCTTCGGGGGCTTAGCATTTAGGCTTTCGAGTTTGGGGTCTGAGATTCTTTTTGTGGCTGCCTAGTAGTAGTACTGTCGTCCTCGTCGTCATAGTACCACTACTACTACTACGACGACGACGACGACGGCGAAGACTACTACGGCTGCTCTTCTTACCATCCATGACTGTCAATGCTGCTACCTCGGGAAATGATCATCTGATACGGACCCTGCATCTCCACCGAGAAACATCCTTGCTTTGACATCCATTGAGTGTGGCTCCTGATGCTACCATTCTGTTGCCTCCCGTGCAGGACTGATGGCCTGGAGAAAAGGCTTAGGTGCTGAGAATGCTGATGAGCCGTTTGAGACATCTCAAGCCTGCGCCGAGGAGCGATAAACCTTGAATGCAAAACCCTGACTTGTAAACCCAAACATCGTCCCCGGTGCCCAACATGTCCGCACGCTTCCTCCGTGGCCGTAGTCTGAGATGATCTCATCTGCACCTGTGCCGGAGAGGTAGACGAGGATGCCCCGCTCGCGCACCTGAAAGGGCTCCTACACCTGTTAGTGTTCCATGTTTAATAGTAAGACCTGTTAGTATTCCATGTTTAATACTACTTGTAACTAGAGTAGCATTACTATTACCACCGTTATGGTTTCTCATACTGCAGAATTTATTACTTATTACGGAATTTTGTGCTGGTGGTATTGCTGCTTGAGACCAGCCAATCCCGACCCCAGACCCCGGAATCCCTCAGCCCACAACTCCTCCCAAATCTACACTCCCCACATGGACTCTGAAGCCTCTTGGGTTACCTAAAACTCCAAAGCCCAGATGGCCTGCTTCATGATGTAAGACCTCAGTTCAGCTTAGGGGCTTGAGGTTTAGGAAGCAGAGCTTTTGGGAAAAGGAGTTTTGGGCTCCAAGTTGTCGAGCCTAGACCTTTCAGAAGGCTTTAGGGCTTGAGGCCTGTGATATAGAAACCTGATTGAAAGACCCCCCCCCTGGTTGTCAAAAAAAGGACTCATTGCAAGCACCCTGCTAGACTCTTAACCAGGCTCCTACATCAGAGGTTCAGCGCCTGCAGCGCCTTGGTTTCTGCGCGGTCTTAGTGCCATTGCAATGAGAATGTTTCTCTGTCGGGTTTAGGGTTTAGGGTTTAAGGTTTGGGGTTTAGGGTTTAGGGTTTAGGGTTTAGGGTGAATCAAGGGACCCCTCACAACCAAACCCCACAAAAGATACGGCAAAAGCATGCGAGGCGGCCCACTCCACGGCATTCGATGCTTCCCACCAACGTTTTCGTGTCTGATTCCACTATGCTCTAGACAAGCAGTTTAAAGGAATACACATCAGCCAAGGGCTGGTAATCTTTACTGCTGACTCTATAGCCTCTACGACTTTGAATATGGGAGACTATCGCTACTATCATTTCTACCATGATTCTATTATTTCTTCCTTGATTCCTATCAATTTTCCCATGATTTATAAACCCCTAAAACCCTAAACCCTAAAACCTAAACCCTAAAACCCTAAACCCCTAAAACCCGGAAACCCTGAAACCCCAGAACCTAAAGCCCTAAAACCCGGAACCCGAAACCCCAAAAAGGGCCAGGCAAAGCAGTCAAGAGGCAGACCCGAGGAGGCGGGATCCTGAGAGACGAGGAGCTCTTGCCCGCGGGTAGCCCTGGCTCCGCTTTTTTTGGGTTTAGGGTTTAGGGTTTAGGGTTTAGGGTTTATAGGGTTTAGGGTTTAAGATGTAGGGTTTCGGGTTTAGGGTTTAGAGTTTAGGGTTTAAGAAACCCCAAACGTTCAGGGTTTAAAGAATTTTCTCTGGGGTTTTGATGGTTCAGGGATTAAAACCTTGAGGTTCAGAGAATCGGGGATCAGGGCTTAGGGCTTATAAGGTTTAGGGTCTTGGGTTTTGGGTTTAGCCATGCTGGCTTCGTACGTAAGGACGCTTGGTTCTGACCCCGGAGAAAGGCTTTTGGGTGTTAGAGGGGTTGGTGGGTTCTGTTTAAGCTAGCTTAGAATATGGGTAGTTCTCTAAATTATGGTCCCTCTTTGAGTCCCCAATATAGTACGGCACCCTTATAAAAAAGGGGACCCCAAAAGAGACAGAACTACCCAGATGGCTACCCCGGAAGAACAGAGGGCTTTGGCCTTCCTGGCGCAGCAGAGGCAATGCCACGAAGGATGGGAGGCTTGGAGGCGGCAGTTGGGCGCTGTACCGTTCAGCGTGTACGGCTAGGGTCTGTGGGGTTTGGGGTCCAGGCCTTCTTTGGCTTTTTTTGGGTTTGGGATAAGAAATCCTGGAACTCCGACGCCTCACAGATCACAAGCCTCTTTTCTCGCTGAGAACCGCCGGGCACGCGAAGCCACCAAACCACCGCGGAAGACGAAGATTGCACTTGTTGGCCAGGTAGGTGAGCACCGCTTCTCATTGCGATGACGCCAGAGTTCAGAAGGGCCTATGTGTGTCATCGCTCACCGAACATATCGATCTCCGCTACCTGGAAACTCGTCCATGCCGGCCACGCCAAGCCCAAACACGCCAGTTGAAAGCTCATCAGCTGCTCCGTCTCAGTGCACCTTGGGCGCCACGCAACACAACACGGCGGGATAAAGCAGACTACTCCGACTTCATGCGGTTTTTGCAGCAATGGCATCTTGTTTCTTTTCTGCTGATTCCCCGCAAGCAATCACTCCATGCCGGCAGCATTCTTCGCTATGTCCCTCTCTTTGATGGCCTCCTGCAGCACAGCACAGGGCACGGAAAAAAAAGTCTTGTAACTTTGAATTTTCGAGGGTGCATGATACCTTCAACTCAGAGCAGGGGTCCTCCTCGGGATCAAAAGGCGCGTCCCACTTCAGATCGTGCAGCTCCTGGCGCCAAAGAGCACCTGCCTTTTTCAGTGCCTTGTAAGAAGGAGCAATCGCTGGCTGCCTAGCTTTCATGATGCCTTGTCGCGAGCGCGCGCGAGCAGCGCTGCCGGAAAGGAGGCTAAGATTCGGCTGAGGCTTAGCTGTGCCTTCAGTACCCACCATTTGTGGACTCCTTCCTTACTCGCTTTCATTCTCAAGAAAAGGAATCCACCCATGAAGGCTTGCCGACTTCGATGTGAAGCCCCAAACACAGCACAGCACGAAGGCGAAGCATCGAGTAAGGCTGCTGGATCTTAGCCACCTGATCCCTGGGCCCGCCTCGAGCTTTTCAAGCAGCACCTCACCGGGCTTTGATCCGAGCATGAACAACGCAAGCCAAACAAGCTGGAGCAAATCTTCCGCACTTGTCCCACATTCATGCACGCATCATCTCCGAAACCTTCCCCCATTGAACCCGGCAAGCCTTGCGCATGCCAGCGCAAAGCCCTCGAAGCCCCAAGGATGATGATCGAAAGGCCAAAGAACAGAAAAGAGCAAAGCAATACGAGGAAACCGCAAAGGAAGCCACAGCCTGAAGCAGCAGCAACAAAAAACAGGAATCTTCGACCCAAAACCTGAAGGCAAAACATAGCAGCCACCCCAAACTAAACTCTGAAGCCTAGCCCAGACCCCCCCCCCCCATAGCCCCAGCCTGACGCTGCGATGAGATGCCCAGCACAGCTTCCCAGGCACGGCGCTTCGATGGGCCGAGATCATGGAGCCACTCGCCGAGGTCCTGGCCGTAGGAGGACGGTCAGTCGTAGTGGGGGCTTTCGGCACTACTATCCCATACTATGATATGATATAATGTACTGCAATCTAATGTGAGATGATGTAGAAAAAGTGAATCCGTAATAATACCCTACAATATAATATACGGTGTAGTGTCATACAACATAACATATAGTTTCATATAATACAAAATTATATGTAGTAGAATATAATGCGACCTGATATAGTACAGTATACTACCATACAATAAACTTAATGTAATTTATTATTTACTATAATACGATTTACTATAATAAACTTTATAATAACATCACACAATATGATACCATATAATATAAAGTTACTATATTTCATAATAATAATAATAGTAATAATAATAATAGTAGCAATAATAATAATAAGAATGGTAACAATAATAACAATAATAATATGGAGAATTTCAGACTGCAATGGACAAGAAGAGAATGGAACAGAATAGCATTTACTACCATATAATAAATAATGCTATACTATCCTAGACTATACTATACTATACTATACTGAAACTATACCATACCATACCATACCATACTATACTATACTATACTATGCTTCATCTGATCCTTGGAATACACCCGACAGCTGTGCAAGGACCTGGGGGGGTTGGCAACTCTAAGGTCCCTGCTCATGTTTTCGTGGCTCTTGGCTGATAGTGGTAGGAGCAGCCGCAAAATTAGTAGAAGCAGCGGCTGCGGCAGCAGGGGAGGGTTGTTGCTGACGATGTTTGTGATGAAGGTGGCTACTGAGACTGTCGCCATGACGAGGAGGATGGCACAACGAGCCCTGGTTGTCTCGCTTTGTTACCCTAGCTATCTTCCAATCACCTCATGCCAGGCCCGCCACCACTACCACCACCCCCTGAAAAGGAAAAAGCTTTGTTTTGGATGACTGGAGACGCCAAACCCTCAACCTCGCGCCCGCTTCTCGTCTCAAAACTTCCCTTAGCAAAACCACGAACACATCACCCGCGCGAACTCCTCCTAGTCTGTTTAAACCCCTCAAGCAACACCGGGCCGTCAACTGCTCGCCCCGGCGTGTCAGCCAGGCGGGCTCCTTTCCATACTCCTGGAGATTCGGGATTTAGGGTTTAGGGTTTAGGGGTTTAGGGGTTTCGGGATTAGGGTTTAGGGTTTGGGCCGGGTTCCAGATAAGCGTTCTCGCCATCGTCACCGTCTCTAGTGGCAGTGGTTGTAGTGAAACTTGTACTTGGACTTGCACTTGCGGATTGCGGTTGCACTTTTCAAGAGCTCGCACTCATTTCATCAGCCGCGGGTGTGAGTCCGTTTGCACCTCGAGGCATCCTGGCTCGGGGATTCACATCCGAGCTGAGGGAAAAAAGGGAGAGCAGCATGAAAAGCATATGCTTGCTCCGGGTGCAAATTGCACTTCATCCCCAGCTGCGCAGCCGGGCGGGAGGGTGGGAGAGCTAGAGCAGCGGGATTCTTTCACTCGAACTCGCTCTTACTGCTCAAGAGCTCGCACTCATTTCATCAG